CAAATGGGCCTATGGGGTCAAGTGTAGATTAGCCCGAGCCCAAATCTTAACAGATCCACCACAGAGCAGATACACACATGGCATCCTCTGCCAACACTTTCCCCTCCCCACCCACACATCTCCCGGCGGCGGCTACCGGCCTTGTCCCCTAAACCAGTTCGGCTCCAGATGCTACGTTCTAGACGATGATGGAAGGTCAAATTCTTTCTGGAATCGGATTGGGAGAAGCAAGAGAAAGGTGCCAATTTCGTTCTGTCTTCGGATTCGAACAAGAAACGGATCAATTTCGATGTGTATTAGAAAAAGGAGTTGTTTTTATATGTCTGCCTCTCGTGAGATAATAGTAAATCGGTCGGTTTACGGATTCTGTACCGGCTTGAAGAAGATTCGGAAACCTCATCCGTCTCTGTCTTGGGAGTAGGGAGTGGGATCAGAGTTCTTTTACTAGTAGGATTGGAGGAGTCTATAACAAGTTCAGGCTGGGCGTTGACTATTCTTTCCAGATCATCGTTTCAATACTTACTTTGCTTATTGCATCGCCATGGAGCTTAATAGGGGTCGCTGCGTCCGACGTGATGTAAGTCGTTGCTTATGTTTTGTTATTATTACTCCCTCCGATCCATATTACTTGTCGCTCAAATGGATATTAGCACTAATATCCATTTGAGCGACAAGTAATATGGATTGGAGGGAGTATTATAATTTTTCATTTGATGGAAGTCAATTTATTGATCCATCATCGATGACTAATTTTTCCATCTGGCAAAATGCAGTCGAAAAGAGAAGCTAGTACCGGGGGCTCCCTAAGCGAGCTGCTTGATGAAGTACAAGCTTGTAATGGGGACAGGCTAAGCGAGCTGCCTGCTGACCTGCTGCTCAACATTCTGGAGAGGGTGGGTACGCTTGATGCAGTAAAAACTTGCATACTTTCGAGGAAAATGCAGAAGCTGCCCACTATGCTCTCACAGATCGTCATTGATCTCAGCTCTCACGATCTAGTTCAAATGAATGGTGTTGTGGCTGATGTGACAGACAAGATCCTTCGTACGAGGTCTCCGCAGATCACCATTCACAAGCTGAAGCTCAAATTTTTCCTGAGCCCTTCTCGCTGTCTCTCTATCGGCAAATCTGTTGGGGCAGCCATGGTGACGCAGAAATTGGATGCAGCCGAGTTTGAGATCTTGTCGCCAAGGGATCTCCATCTTTGCACTGATGCCTATCGCGTGCTCTTTGCTAAGCAGTTCAATAATTTTGTTCGTGATTGTCCAGATGCATTTGCTGGTCTCACACGGCTGCATTTACGGAATATGAGATTTGGTAAATCAGACATACCCATCATCCTAAGCTATTGCAAGGTGCTGGAGTCACTATCTTTCTTAATGTGTGCCGCTGGGATCCGTTCGGTTCTACATGTAGAACATGCTCGACTCGTCGAGCTTGTTATCTCCTATGGAAAATTCAAAACAGTGGAGCTCAATCGCCTACCAAAGCTCAAACGGATGACCTACAATAATTGGCCCTATGATGAAAATCCATTGGTTCTTGGTGTTCTCCCTCAGCTTTCAAACCTCAGTCTTGGTGATGCATGTCTTTCTCAGAAGACCCTCAAGCTAAGCCAGCTGCTTGCTACTGTCCCTTCTGTTAGTGATCTGTCTCTGGAATTTCGAAGTGAAAAGGTACTCGCTCCGATAATCTCTATCCCATTCTCATTGTAGTAAATTATTCATCACTTGAGGATGCAATTTATGCACAGTTTGCACTCATTATTAATTTATTATTTTATCTCCCAGGTTTGGATTCAACCAGAATGCCCCAAAGCGCTTGCTCCTGTGCTTGCTAAGTTACGGTTTATTAATCTGGATAATCTTCCTGAAGAATGTGATATCTCTTGGACAATGTTCCTTCTTGAAGCTGCACCATCTGTAGAGGACCTTTCCATCACAGTATGGGATCATAAGTGCCGACAGGAGTCACAAAATAGTTACTCAACGAAAACAGATGTGAAGTGGGAACCATCTAATCCAAATTTTAAGCACAAGAATCTGGCGACGCTAACTATCTACGGCTTCCAGTCCGATGACAATTTCATGGGATATGTCAGGCGTGTCATGGAAGCTGCGGTGAACATCAAGAAGGTGTCTCTGCATGACAGGAAGGTGTCCACGCTTTGCACTGACAAGTTTCCCCATGCTGACGCTCGTCCTTCAAGCTATCCTCAAACCAGCGTGCAGAAGGATTCATTGAGGAAGATCACAGAGGCATCCTCGGAGGCTTCTCGGGCTGTGATTCAGTTCAGCTCGTAAGGTCAAAGTCTTCATAAATCAATAAGTCATTCATGGCATCGCCATGATCTATCCTCTAGGAAGGAGTTCCCGAACTCCAAAATCCGTTGGTAGTCGTCAGCGCCATTGCTTTTCTGCTGAACCCGAGCCTGTGTCGTAGCCTAATTGGCTAGATATATATTTGTTGGAACATCTCATTTATAATCAAAATAAGCACGACTACCCGTGCTCACGTGCCTTGTTGTAAGTGCTCATTTGTGAGAAGGTGGTGCAGCAAGTGCTTTTGTTGAGTAAAGTCAATATTCAGTATGAATATTGTTCAGTTTGAATAAAGTCAATATTCTGTAATAAGTGTTTATGTTGAATAACGTCAGTATGAATAAAGTCAATATTCAGGAACAAGTGTTTATGTTGAATAACGTCAGTTTGAATAAAGTCAATAATTGAATAAAGTGCAGTAAGTGCGATGAGGTACATGCAGTGGCCGTCCCTGGTGGACTGGTGGCCAGCTCCGGCGCAGTTTGTGCATCCATTGGTTGCTCCGGCGTGGTGACGTTGTGGTGCTCGGCGCTCCATTGGTTGGAGAAATTTGCAACAATGGATCGGATCATCATCGGAATCGAGTGCGCTCGGTGTCGGGTTCCAGTTGGTTAATTAGGTTTTTCATATCCTCCAATAATTGCTATGGTTTTGTAGTTAGCATCAAAAATAATTTGCCTGATCCGATTCTGGATGAGCACATTAGTGTGGTACTCGTACTTATTTTTCTAGAAGTAGAATAAGGGCCCCTTCGGAACGCATGATTCTGAAAACGTTACAAAATCCGAACACGTCAGTTCTTCCTCTTTATTACTACCTCCGCCCCAATAATATAAGTTGTTATTACAACACATTAAAAAAAACATTGTGCAAAATGCATTAGTTGCACAAGAAAACTGGTCTACACTTGTAGCAAGGAAAAAATGAGATAATATCACCGGTGATGCTTAAACTTGTCACCGATGTTCACTTCAGTTCATGAACTTGAAAAATACACCGAACTAGTTCTAGAACTTGACATGAGCGTGCAAATACGGTAATAATCTCATTAATAGCCGTATAATGCGCTGACATGGCATTGTATTTTAATTAGTATGCACGTGGCGTGGGGCCCTCTTCCAACAGATGGCTTACTTTATATGTCTCTATGACCAGTGGGCCCCACATGTCAGAATTAAGGAAAATCAACAATAAAAATTGGGGCCGCCAGGAATTGAACTTGCAACATCGTCCATGTTGCAATCAGCACTAACCACAAGACCACTAATTTTTTTGTCCACAAATGATAATGACACGATATATTATAAGGGAACACGCCTGTGTGGTTTAAATGGCATGCTGTCTGTGTGGCCCATGTTGCACATCTTAGCTGTCTTAATGTTTTTACAGTTTATAAAAAGTATGTCAATTATATGATAATAATAAAAAATAAATTTCAAACTTCGTATATATAAATATTATACATAAAAAATTAACTTATTTAGCGAAATGTTCAAGCAATTTTTAAAATTATTGACGTATTATTTTTGAAGAAACGTATAAAATAAATTATAATTCATAATTATTATTTTATTTATACAAATATTTGAATAACTATATGCAAATATTCATAATTCATAAGTTTGTTTTTTACATTTTTTGTATAATTTAAAAATATTCATAATTGTGCAAAACTAAAATTTTAAATTGTTTTTATAAATATATACATCTAACTATATTTCAATTAAATAGAAATTAAGAATATATGCCACCAGTGAAAGTTATCACAAGTGAATATTAATATAAATATCTGTATTCATAATTTTTCATAATTTAAATATAGGCCATGAGGTATGGTTTTTTATATTTACTAAATGTTTTAAATGTAGTCCACGTGTAAATAAGTGAATGTATTTAAAAAATGTACGCTTTTTAAATAAATTATTTTATTTTTACGTATAATATTTATAACACACGAATATTTTAAACTTACTTTTATTACCGTGATTATAATTTACAAATTAAAAGAAAGAAGCTAACATGTGCAACTGGGCTGCACGGGTCAACGTGTTCTTACACATAATATTAACGGTCGTTATTGTTTTTGGACATGGGAATAGGAATGGCACTATGGGTAAACCAGGTCGTTTTGCTACAGCGACGTCCCAAGTTACGAGTCTTGCTTGCTACAGTTTTTATCGTTCATTTCCCACCGTGCTTACATATGGAGCCCACTACTCATAGAGACCTATATAAAGCAAGCCATCTATTGGAAGTGGGTCCCATGCCATGTGTGCATGCTAATTAAAATACAGTGCCACGTCAGCGCATTATACGCAAATGGATGAGATTATCATCATATTTGCATGATCATGCCAAATCTAAAACCAATCCGGTGTATTTTTCAAGCTTAAGCACTAAAATGAACATCGATGCCAAGTTTAATCACCACTGATGATATTACCTAAAAAGTTCATATAGACATTCCGTTATAATGCTCATTTAAACACATTCTATTGTCGTACCCAACATATGTGGGAAAGAGCGACAAAATGACATCGTCATCACTATTTCAGAACACCTGTGGAGGTTGAACAGGGGAGAGGAGGGGATCGATGCCAGACCGAAGCCGATGATCACCCCTTGCTCGCTTTGGAGCAAAGCATGGACATATGAGCGACCAAATCATGGTAGGAAAGTCCACAACATCGGCAACAGAAGAGCTCTTCGTTGTGTATCGAAGAGCTAACTAGTGGCAGTGGTCGCCTCTCGCAAGGTCCCAATAGAGAAGATTGGTTTCGTGGGTGGGCCTTGCGGCATTGATCGATAACAGTGATGGTCTAGTGGCGTTAGCGGTTAGCCTTCACCGCAGGAGGTGCCAGCTCGACGCGGCGCATGGCTTTGTTTGCCTTCCACCCGGTGCGTCCCCTTGCCATCATTTTCCTAGCTTCCTTTTTCTTGTGTTCTGCCAAATGGGTGTCGGGTTGTGAAGAGGCTTCTTGTGATAGTGTTCCCTTGGCCGGATGTTGTTTGTCGGAATGTCTACCCGACGTTTGACATCGGCGATCTACCCGAATAGCATGCATTGGTATGTCTACCTGGCCTTTGGACGGTCCGGCCTTGACGGCTAACGTGTGCGCTGACGTGCTCGCTGGTTGTACTCTCCCCTGGTCATTGAATTGACTGGTCGGTTCTCTTTGCTTCCCTCTACTCATGCGGTTCCAGGTGGTGGTGCCCGACTGCGATGGTTCAAGTCATTTATTGTGTGGGTTGCAGTTCGCCTTTCTATTAACCCGGCTGTTTGGTTGTCATGCCCGTCCAGAGAAAGACACGGGCAACGATTATCCTTGCGATGGTTCAAGTCATTTGTTGTGTGGGTTGCAGTTCGCCTTTCTATCGACCTGGCTATTTGGTTGTCATGACTGCCAAGAGAAAGATATGGGCAAGGATTATAGTTGTTTGTTGTTCGTAGATACAGAGGGAAATACAAACGTAGTGCTCGCTCCGCTTCGGCCCAAGCCTACAGGAGACGGGGCTCGCTCCGCTCGCTCGTCAGAGAATAGGCTTTATCTTTATACTTGAATTTGGATCAATAACATAACATTAACATGCTTAAACTGCCTAACTTTCATAAACAATTTACCATTGATGATACAGATGATTCTCATCATGGTGTGGGAGCTTTCTTAATGCAGGATAGACACCCTATGCCCTTTCTCTGTAAAGCATTGGGAAGTAAAAAAATCAAGGGTTACCTATGAAAAATAATCCATGGTTATTCTCTTAGTTGTGGACAGATAGAGATCTTACGTGCAACATCAGGATTTTTTTTCATTAGAATTGACCACCAAAGTCTGGCTCACTGCTTAGAGAGTGGCCACTTCGATCCAAAACAAGGCATTTGTGAAGCTCATTGGATCACAATACAAAATTGTGTACAAGAAATCAGGTTGCTGATGCGCTGAGATAGAAATATGAAGAAATTGACTGTAATGCATTCTCTACTTGTATTCCATCTTGGATTGCTACTCTCATTGAAGGATACGCCCAAGATACTCAGGCGCAAGAGATTTTAACTCGTTTGGTTGTAGATCCAACTAGCATAACAAATTTTACAGTGACTGAGGGCCTCCTCAGGTAGAAAGGTATAATCTATGTGGGCCATGATGCTCTAGTTCAACAACACATACTTCAAGCCCTGCATACTAGTGGCATTGGGGGACATTCTGGTACTACACCCACATATCATAGAATTTAAAGTCTATTTGCTTGTCCTAATATGAAAGACTCAGTGGGGGCTTTGGTGAAACAATGCACTGTGTGCCAACAGGCTAAGATTGAACACGCTAAACTCCTTCGGCTGTTGCAACCACTTTTAAGTGCCAAAATAAGCATGGTCTTGGATTAGCATGGATTTCATTGAAGGACTGCCAAAGTCAACTTTCAGCAAGTACGGGCATTTTATACCTCTCAAGAACCCATATACTACTGTATGGACTACCTGATGTTATTGTCTAAGTTTTTCACAGGCCATTTTTGGCAAAACTTGTTCTGATTAACTGACACGCAGCTGAATGTGAGCAGTGATAGACAGCCAGAAGTTTATGGTCAAACACAGATATTAAATAAATGTTTGGAAAATTGCTTGCGATGTTTCGTACTCCCTCCGCAAAGAAATATAAGAGTGTTTAAATCACTAGTTTAGTAATCTAAATGCTCTTATATTTCTTTACAGAGGGAGTACATGGTTGTCCTCATAAGTGGGATCACTGGCTGCCCCCGGCTGAGTTTTGATACAACACCACTTATCATTGAGCTTTGAATACCACACCCTTCAGAGTATTATATGGCAGAGATCCGAAACAGTTGGCTGTTGAGGCTGTTCTTCATATAACAACATGCTGATATGAACATTGTCATTCAGAATGAACTTCTCAAAGCTCAGCATATAATAGAGGTGAAAGGTGACAAAAGGGAGATCTGAATGACACTTTAATGTGGGT